GCCGAATCATGCAGAATTAATCCCTCTATAGCAGACTCAATTTTCTTCCATTACATTGAAGAATACTGAGCTGCCTCAGAAATATCAATCCTTTGATTTATGGAAAATTCGATTTTGCCTCCCAATCGGAACTGTGGCTCTAAAATAGAGCATATCGTGAACACACGGGCATCTCAGCAAGACACTCAACGCTGAGTTCAATGACCCATTGATATGTTACTCTTTTTTCAACAAAATCGAGATGCTAACGTCTCAGCTTCATTGTTGTTGATGGTGTAGCGGGGAAAAATGACCCATTGGCCCAGTCTCGCTATCTGCAGCGAAAACGCGAGTGTCGGTGAAAAGCCGTCTGTGTGAACTGTCAGCGCACCGTGGGAAGGAAGCTGGTTTTTTGCGACAAACATCGATCAAGGTACTCGGCAGAGTTGTTTCGATGTCGCTCTTACACTGAAAAAAAAATCTTGGTGTATTTACTAAGAAAACGGGAAACTTACCAAGAATTCAGGGTTCTATTTGATCCCAATTTTTTCTTGGTAAAATTTTCATTTATGGAATTGGTAATTTTACCGAGAAATCTCAGTAAAATTATTGAACTTTCTCGGTAATTTTACTAGACCTTGGTGAAAACGCCAATATTTTTGTATCGACTGTGGTATAATTACCGAGATAAAACGGCAAAGTTACAGGGAATTGATTACCAATAAAAGTGGTATTCTTACCTGAAAAAAACAGGATAAATACCGGTTGTTAGGTAAGCTTACCAGTCTGTCTTGATAAAATTACCAATAATTGATAATAAAGTGAGATGGTAAATGTACCAACGGACCTTGGTAAAAACGCCGAGAATTTTTTTTCAGTGTATATCAACGTTCAGTAAATCCTGTGTGATTGTTAGCGCTGACTTTGAATATGTTATAGAATTTTGTTGTATCTAGTGAGGACTTTTTGCAAACTTTAACTTTGCTGTAAAAACCAATCACGCCGAAGAAAAATAATTAAGAAAAAATCCATCCTTTTCTTCCCTACAAAGAAACGTAACGTAACCGCAAACGGACGCAGGAAAGCCCCCCTCCCCTCCCCGCAAGTTGTATTGTATTTTAATACGAGACTGTTGAACATTTTCAACTGAAAATCCTAGTATTTTTTTTCTGATCACACGCTAAATTCGACAAAATTTCGAACGAAAATCGTTTTCGAGTCATGATCTTTCATTATGCATCCCCACCCGTATGTGCCATCATCAGGATCTGGATTTCAGTTTACTCGGTCTCGAAACTCGTATTCCAAGTCTCGCCTAAACTTGGCCATTGTCTCACGACAAGAGCTTTAAATAAAAGCGTAAACTGGTTCGTCCATGATGATGAAGTCAACGTTGTCGCGGCGTGTCATCACTCATCCTCGCTCCTCTGACGTAAGGGTGTACCTTAATTTCTACGCGAGCCCTGTTTTCCATATGAATCCATGCTTTCTGGGGCTCCTGTGGAGAAATAGATACGCCCTTACGTCAGAGGGACGACGACGAGGTGGAGGATCACAACGCGAGATGACTCCTTTTCGTCGAGCGCCGTTGCGTCGCACAGTGGAGCTAGTCGATGGAAATGGTCGGACATTAGGTGGAATGAAAAGCTTGTATCTTCATTAATACTAAACTTAAAGCGAATTTTCCCAAGTGGATTTGGTATAGACTTTTTTAATTAAATCCTGATGAAGAACGTTATTTTTTTCAACCCAATCTACTAGTCTGTACAGCTCATCAGCATCCGGTTTCTGAACCAAATCCAAAATTCCTCGACCCATTTCCGGAGGTATATAAGTCGAAAAGAGTACACGGCTTCACCAGAAACCTGGGAAATGAACCAATGTTTCCAAAATGGCGGTGTTCTGTGCGACAAAAACAATAACCGCACGCGGTGAGATGATGGCGATGAAGTAGATCAAGTTTTGTTGCATCGGCCAATGGGTGCGCTTTTTTGACCTAATCCGGGATTTGGTTGAAACAGTCATTTGGACCGCTTTTAGCAGAAAGGAACCAAGTCTTTTCAGCTATTGCCAAATTTAACCGGAAAATTCAATTTTTTACAAGAGAACGCTCGTGAAGATCCCCTCGAAATTTTGAGGAATTTGCATCGAACCGTGCAGAATATTCACTGAAATTTGCATAAAAATCCGCACAACCGTTTGCACGAAAAAAAAGAAATTGCCCGACTAAATTTGGCAACAGCTAATGTGGCTTGGTTCCTCTCTGCTTATCGCGGTCCATTTATCCAAAAAATTAACCGAATCCAGTCGCAAAAATTCGCCGTTGGAAGTTTAAAAATGGCTCCATTTGTTTTCTTCGTTAAACTCCCTCCAATCAACACTCCCCTAAATAAATAATTTGACGAAGTAACTTTGAAATTTTGCAGTTCTAGTCAGAGATTTCATCGTTAAACTCCCTCCAATCAACACTCCCCCAAATAAATAATTTGACGAAGTAACTTTGAAATTTTACAGTTTTAGTCAGAGATTTCATGTCCGGTCTACCAATAAATCTCTCCACTGTACGCCGTCGCTCTCGATTTTGTCGCGGTTTTTCACTCGATGCCATTGCTCTTCTTGGATGTTGAGAAATGGCGGCTCCACGCGCAGCTGACCATCTCAGTCGCGGTCTCGCTGGTGCTATAAGGTGTCACGTCGCGTCGTTGTCGGTGACGCACAGTGGACTCAAAAAATTATTTGTGGTCATCTAGTCCGTAAGGTGCTGCCGATCAATGACGTCAGGTAGTAAGGAGGGAGGGGGACGACACAGGGTTGCTACAGCCAGGAAACACCGGGAAAACTGAGAAATGTCAGGGATTTTTCAAAAGTCAGCACTGGAAGAAAAAACACATTGGATCTAGAGTCCAGACTCTTAAAAACATCGACAAGAAAAAATACTCTTGATTCAATCAGATTTAAGCTTAAATCAAGAACCAAGCCTCTTAATTTGAGCGGATTTCCTTTTGATTTAAGCTTAAATCTGATTGAATCAAGAGTCCTTTTTCTTGTTAGTGTTTTCAAGAGTCTGGACTCTAGATCCAATGTTTTTTTTTTCTTCCAGTAAGGGAAAACCTGGAAAAGTTAGGGAAAATGACGAAAATGTCAGGGAAAAATCGTCAAATCACCTTCATTTGCTATCTCGAGTAGGTTTGGCGTCTCGAACAACAAATTTTGCCTGAAATTTTTTTTCTACTAATGTCTTTTTAACAATCTGGCATTTATTCAATTATCAGGGAATTTTACCAAATTGTGTCAGAAAAATCAGGGAAGTGTCAGGGAATTTAGTTTTCCAAATTCTGTGGAGATAGGTACAAGGATATACTTGTAGTAGTTACGTTATACTTAAATTAAATTCTTTAAATAAAAAAATTCTGTGGCAACCCCGAGAGAAAGAGGGTCCAGCGCTACGTGACATACCCCTTCGAAAAAGAGTAGAAGGGGGAGGGCATCTGANGGGGGGGGGGGGGGGGTGGAAGAGATGGGGCGAAAAATCGGGAAAAGTGTCTGACGTTATTTATATGCGACCCCTAGCGGCTGCCCTTCGGAAAAAGGACCCTATTGTATGTTCACGGACCGAAAGTTTCAGTAGATAAAGATCGGATTTTAAGATTTCAACGACGAACTCTCTAGAGTCCTGAAGAATAAAGTTGTCAGTCTAACTCAGCAGTTAATGTCTCAGTTTAATTCATTTTCGTGCCAAGGAAGAGCGTGGTGTTGCATTCTTGGACTGCGTTTTACAGAAAGGAACCAAGCCACTTCCGCTATTGCCAAATTTAACTAAGCAATTTAACTTTTTACAAGAGAACGTTTGTGCGGATTCCTTTGAAAATTTGGAGGAATTTGCTTCGTACTGTGCAGGAAATTCAATGAAATTGCACAAAAATCCGCACACCCGTTTTCATGTAAACTATTAAAGTGTCAAATTAAAGGCATTAGCTAATGTGGCTTGGTTCTGCTCAACGCGATCCTATTAATTGGCAACTTTGGGCCCTGTACAGGTGTATGTGCATATCGACGGTGAAACTACCAAACCACGTATCTCGTTTGCGGTGTTTAAAAATCTACGCTCACATTTTATTTTTTAGAAGTAGACCAAATCAATATCATCCCTTGAAATTTTCACGGAATTTTCTCCGCACAAAGAGGAAAAATCACAGAAATTTTCAAGACTAGATGTTAAGTAGTTTTTCATTTAAAAAATAAAGTATGACAGGAAGTCTGCGACGTCGCAAACCGAGATACGTGGTTTGGTAGTTTCACCGTCGATATATACAAAGTGTATGTGCAGGAACGCTGCTCCAACATTTACCTCATTGGATTTCTTTTTCAGACAACTAGAATGCCTATCATTCCAATGATATTTTGGTTATCGCAACAAAATATCTGGTTGTTCAAAAAGAAGTCCGGCGAGGGGCGCACCTATATCCTATTTCTAGAACCTGAACGATAGGAAATATATCGTCACCCCCCGGCCAAAGTATCACAAGCGCCACGCGACGTTTCAAAATTTCTGCCACCATTTTATTTTTTATGGATAAATTGTTGGTTGAATCCGTTTGAAAATTTCACTGAATTTTATCGGCAGCACCAAGAAAATGCAAAGAAATTTTCGGACATTTTCGTCTAAAAATGTCTCTGTAAAAAAATGAAATGGCGACGGAAATTTTTAAACATCGTATGGCACTTGTGATACTTTGGCGGGAAGGTGGCGGTATCTGGAACCGCTCGCTCCGTTGGGTCACTCGAATTGGATTTTCTACCCATTTAGCGAGGGAACGGCAAGAAAGTGAGCCATATTTTTTCGCCGAGAGATATAGACCAAGCAACACCATTGCACCTCTAATTGCATCTAATTATGATTGCACATGCCCCCCTCCCCACCTCCCACGTCTATGGTGCCGGCGGTATCGCTGTTTTGAGTTATTTTACACCGACGTTGCCTTTCCATTTTCACTAACCCGTGATCTTCTCCTCTGTTTTAGGCAAGTCCTGTCCGTGCGGCCACGTTTCGATGTAAACGCAAGTGCTTCGATGCCGTTGAGCCCGGCAGTCCGTCATTATCCGTCATCCTTTCGGAATGGGTACGTATTTTTTACGTTAGAGGCGACGTTCATTTTTCCAATAGAAATGGAGAATGTATCAGTGCCCCCATTTCCCGGAACTTGTGCCGAATTTCGGAATTTTTGAGGTTTTCCTGAATTTTTCCCGGAACTTTTTAAATTTCCAAAATCTTCCGGATCTTTTGCATTTTCCGGAACTTTTGAAAAATATCAATAGAATCCCGGAACTTTTGTCGGTTATAAAGTGGGAGAAATTGAAACAAAAAATTTCCGGAACCCTAAACTTTTGACGAACATGGGAAAATGGAATGGGAGCACTGGGATGTATAAAATGCAGTGAATGAATGAATAATCGTTTTATTACATTAGTCTCTTGCACTCGATCACGTGGAAAACGCACACTAAAAAGTTCTGTTGTTTATGTGTCAATGCTAAAGTGTTAGGTACGACATATTTTACTGATTTCCTCTGACGCATACGGGGCCGACTTTATTTTATGCATTCTATAAATAAAATAATTATTCTCGCCTAATAAGGAAAATTTTCCTGCCCTACATGCCTGTGTAGTCAACTGGTAGAGCACTTACTCAAATGTCAGTCGCAATAAACCGACGTTATAAAGCAGTGCGTGAGAAGACAGGGGAAAATTCTTGGCGAAACCATCATCATGAATCATGATTTCTCAGTTTCCCCTTATTTGCAAAACCGACCAATATAAGAACAAATTTTCCCGTACCTAGTTATTATTCCGAGAGCTTGCCAATGGGAATACGTTCAACTTTAGTGTAGCAAACTTTTAGCGGTTTTTAAGCCTGTCTCTCTCCCCTTGTAACGCTTTGTAACGTTAAATTGGACATTCTTTTACAAATTGCGTGATGCTAGGGGTGAATTGCTTCATATTGCATCTATTTTTCCCCCTTTTTTGTGGTGGGTTCTAAGTTTTTTTGAACGTTTTAAAATTACCGCAAACTGTTCGTTCTTGCACGGGCAACTATTCAGAAACACCCGCCGGAAATTTTGTCGGTCGTAAGAAGAAAATTGAGGGGCTTGGAGAACAAGGCGCATAATTGCAGTTTTTGCTGTTTCGAGAAATGCGTGTTTGAAGTTTCGAAATTACATGGATCCTTATGGCGAAAAGAAAGTTCAAACTGACTTTTTGATGCTTAAAGATTGGGATTTGGGAGCGAATTATTCACAGAATATGCATTAAGACCAGGTTTACTTGAAATCATTAATATCTCAATGTTCTTAAAAACTGCACCCATGTGCCTTGTCCTCCAAGCCACGCAATTCCCCATTTCCTTCGGGGACCTTCGGTAATTACCTTATCCGCACAAAAATTCAACTTTCCCAGTAATTTGGAATAGACTTACGCCTTTGTGTTAACAATCGATAAAATTTGTATCGGTTTTTCCACATGAAAAGCGGACCAAAAATATTTTATTCTCCCAGTAACTTACTTCAGGTGCCAAAATAGGCTGCCAATTGCGAAATTGATTACATTTTGCAATAAGGAACCACTATTTCTGGCTCAATTTAGAAACAACATAAACAAGATTTGGTTCCCTATGCAGATACGTGCTTTTTTGGAGGAGCTAGAGATAGTGGTTCCTTATTGCAAAATGTAATCCAAATGTGCAAAAAATTTTCAATTTTGGAGGATGTTGCCCCTCCCTTTCAAAATTTTGATCGTTCAGACAAGACAACACGTCTCATTTTTTCCCCCTGAGTTTTATATTTACATAATTTTGATTATGTTTTGTCATCAATATTTTAATTTTATATTGTTTCGTTAGGTTCAGGAGCTGAGCTCTGAAAGCTGAAACAATGCAATTGCGAGGAAAATGGCGATTCAAGGGAGCCGGAATTCCTCGCGATGAGCTCCGAAACGGAAGGAATGTAGAGCATTCCCGGCGTAAATCAGCTCTCGATTGACGGCAATTTTGGAAACGTGAGCCAAGTGAGTAATCTACATGTAGTCATTATTTTTTAATGCTGAACCAGCGGTGGCGCGCTCGAATATTTACGAGAGTTTATTTTACTGCTAATCGAATCGATTGAGGCATTTTTCGGTAGAAGGGCGTGTGAGGTTTGCAATGCTCTTAAAATTGCGCAATTTTTTATGGCTTCTGCGGTAGATGAAATTCATTCAACAATAGTGAGGAAAAACTCGGAGCGGATTTAGGCTCATTGGATTGGAATACTCATTAAATCGAACATGCCTAGAAATTTTGAAAGGTTTTCCCTCCGGGCACATGCTTCTCGAGCTCAGCCATTCAATTCCTTTAATCTACTAGTGAGAAAAATGATTTTAACCAATATCAGTTTGAAAATGTGTTGGAATTTATAAATTTTTTCCAGCAGAATGTGACAAGTTTTTTGAAGTTCATCATTGAAAGAGTCCTGGAAGCTATATGCTACAACCAAGAAAATTTGATAACAAGTCACATCACCATCTGACTGTCCGATGTGCGGAGATGTCTATGCTCCCCCCCCCCCCCCNTTCGGATCGAAAATTTCTTTCTGTGTCCATTCAAACACAGATTTTTGAAGCCTGAGGTCGATGAATCCTTTCATAGAACCAAGCAAGATAATCAAAACTAGCTATTTTAGCAGTTATAAGGAAGGGGGAATGGATGTTTAGATTTCTCATTAATGTCAAACTGTCTTTTAAGATGCTATAAATATTTTTGTTTTTTCCTCTTTTACAGAATGCCAGCTCTAGAATTAATGGGCCGTAAATGGCTCGCTGGGACGGATGACATGGTATTTCCAAGTTTAGTGGAACTGATTGTCCGCTTTATTTGGTATGTTTGCTTTTTAAAACCTTTTAATGTAATCGTTTATGTTACCAAATGGATTTACATCTGCCTATGAAAAGATGAGTAAAACATAGAAATCCATCCTACAAGGAAACTATGCCAAAAGGAATCCATAGATAAAACTGAAAATTAATTTTAGGCGAATCAAATTTTACAACAAAATCATTTTCAGTTTTAACAGTTGTTAATATTTATTGATGCAAAACGCAAAACAGTGGTGTAAAACATGCAGTATCTACCTACGAAGCTTAAAATTTACTTTCACTTTTTTTAAAAATTAATAAAAAAAAGAAAACAACTGATGAAAAACTCTTATTACAGAAACCCCCCAAAAAGTTCTTAATTATTATATTTTGACGGGGGGTTTTTTTTTTAATTTGAATTTTAAAAATTAAAAATAATTTGTTTTTAAGTATCATTGCTAGTAGATATATTTGTGTGGTGATTTTCCTCAAGGTTCTTTGATATTCATATATTTTTTCCCTCTATTTTCTGTATCAGGCTCATACTCGTGTCGGTGGCTTTACTCCGCTACTACAACTTCACATTTGATTGCGATGAGGGTGGATACCTCGTCCGCTTTTATCTAATAGGAGTCATTGTTATAATCGTAGCCATGATGATTATGCTTACAATTATCATCAATCGCAGTGCACAAGGAGCAATTTGGGATACAGCGCGACGTGCTATAGTTCCAAGACTCATTGTCATAAAGTGAGTTGTTTTTTAAATCAAGGAATCCATACATTTGCTATTAAAATGTACTTAGTTTCAATTAGAGCCTCTGTGGACTTTAATTCAGGTTTCGAATTTTCCCTCAAATTTTCACCAATGCTTCTATATAAAGAATCCTCCACTTGAAAAGCTGAAAAAAATAAGTATTTCTGAGCCCCTTCAGATTTAAATATAGGCAACTTAGTCAACTTCAAAACAATTGTTGATTGCATATTCAAAAATGTGAAGGCTGTTTTCTCCTCCAACATCACTTTCATCGTTTTTCTACCACATAACCTGTCCCAAATGTTATAGTTTCGGGCACTATATCTTCATACGAAATATTGCCAAAAGTTGAATACTACCTTCAAAAGTCTTTGTTTGATGGTTTTTAGTTTGTTAAAATCAATGCCTCTATTTTTTATTCTTTGTGACGCTTTGAAATCTTTCAATCTTATGCCAGGAATTTCAACTCTATATGGAAGGTCTGTTGCAATCAAAATAAAAATAATTTTCCCCGGATGATTCAAATCCGATGATTTTCAGTTTCATGAAATGTCACTTTATGTATTAGATAGAAATACCTACAGAAATCAAGCTTTGTAGTTCATTTTTTTGTATAATTTTTTCAGGATTGCAATGATGTTTCCAGAGATGCTAATGAATATTCTGGGCACCGTTTGGACTTTCACTCATGTTATCGATTGCGTCGATGAACACTTTACTAATACTGTAGTAAGATGTAAGTATCAATGAGCAAATATAAGTGAGGCAAGCATTTTTTAAAGCCTCTCAGAAAGTATAAAAAAAGATCTTTGCTGGAAAGGAAGTATGGTGACGACCCTCTGTTCTCTGTATTATCTCTTGTGTTTCGTGTAGGAATTTCATGCAAAATAAGAAGGAAATTTTCCCTCAATCGGCCTATATTGTGGTCTGACTTTATGTTTTTTTCAATTTTATATTGCTCAGTGTTGTTGGTGGCTCAATAATTCCAACTTCTCATGACTGAAAGGTTAGGTTGCTGTAAACAAATTCTGGAAGTTTTTTTTGGAAAATTTCACTTATCATCTTCATTCACCAGCTTCTGCAATTCACATAAAATCGTGATCTCCCAAGAGAACGCCTGTTTGAAAATCATATTGGAAAAATTAAAAATCATGAAGGATTCATTCGCTTGTAAAACATCTGTTGATCTTCAAAAAATAAAAACGATTAGAAAAAAAATGAATTAAGTAACTTATACTTACAAACTCGAGCTCTGTAACATCAGTTTAATCTTTTAACTGGCCCTAAGACTTCGTCTAACTTACAAATTCGAGATTCCTTTTTCTCAAAATAGCAAAAATGTTACTTACTTTCTTCCTGTACAGGAGATTTTAATAATCCTTCTCCATCCCAATATTGGGTGTCGAGGTGCACAATATTTTGTCGCACTCCAATTGTTGGGTTTTAAAGGATGTTCTTACTATGTTCAAGAACTGAGAGACTCAGACGTATGAACTTGTTTATATGTATTAGGACGTCTCAAAATGACAAACTTTAAAAAATCTATCCTAATTTTTCTTTGTTTAACTTTTTATTTTTTTATTAGTTCTAGTTCTTTTCAATTGGATGCTTTTTGCTCTGACCGTTTTTGGCTTGGCACTAGTGTTGGATCCAATCGGCTCCATCAAAATCAATGATGGTAATAATGAGATGACAATTGACTCCCTCAGACATCGGAAAGTGACCAGAATATGGGTCCGGCGTTTTCGATGGTTTTTCTGTTGGATCACCAGAGATGAACACAGTCGCGAAGCTTTCTCTCAAATAGCCAGTAAGTTGACTTGCGTCCATTTTTGGATTTTCCCAGCATTTTAAATCATGGGGATCAGTGACACCCTTTTTTCAAATTATTTCAAATTATTTTTCGAAAGTTCTTTGTGAACCAAGCTTCTAGAAATTTTTCAGTTTTTTTTTTTAACTCCATGAAGTGAAGGAACCCTATTTTGAAAATGACAAAAATGGGAACTGTTAGATGAAACGATATCTTTGATGGGCTTTAATGACGTAGTCAGGCTGGGAAACTGCATGAAATCAGTTTCAGGTATCTACGTTTACTGCACTGTCGGCTTTTCATTTGTCTGATTTTGATTAGCTTTTCCTCTCCTTCGAAATGACTTTTTGAACTTTTTGGTTTTTTCACGACTTTTTATGCAAAAGAAACAGTACTACAACCCTACTAAAATTCCTTGCCATGCTCCATTTCTTTTCTATTTTTCTATTACAAATACTCCAAGTTACCTTTCAAAATATTGAAATAACTCAAGAGTCATCATGAAATTTTATCAAGCAACTTTTTTCTTTTACAGGTTTATTTAGTTCTTTGTTCCGCGACACAGACATGGTTCCTACTGATATTATAGCTGGTTGCATTTTGCTGCGAGTGAAACAAAAAAGAGAATCTCGTGAGCAGCGTAGACTGGCACTCATAGCAGAGCAACGCTATAACTGTACCTCCAGTAAGTAGAAACAATTCTCTCTGGAATTTTTGTCTTTCAAACACTCTCTTGTGCCATAAACTCGTTGACTTGCAAGGTTTTTTCTGTCCTTGACTCCACCATACAAGGCAGATCTGCAGGGACTGGCACTTACCGAAGCCTTCATTGCTATATTTTTTTTGGCTTGCGGAGCACTAACAATACTGAAGTATTCCAAAAAGTTGTTCTGATCGCTCCGATTATTTTGTGTCTTCATTGAAATTCTCCAAAATATGCTATGCTTAAAGTTGCACGGACGCAGTTAGCTAAATTTTTGGAGTTGCTTTTTTCTGGTTCCTAACTCTTCAGTGATTGAACCGATATTTTACGTATGGGCAGAAGCGCTAAAATCCATGTTTTAAGAAAAACAGAGAAAATTGTGCCCTCTGTCATGTGTTTGATTTTTGAGTCCAAAATATGTATGTGTGTAAAGAACTTCTTTTGAAATCCGTCTCAATAGATCGATTGCAACCAAATAGCACACTTTATTCCTCTTTATACATAGGCTGTCCCAAAAAGAAGTGGACTGATGCTGTAATTTCCGAGCTGATCATTGCAGCGATCTTTTCTTGGTCGCGTTTTAAAGATCAACTCAATACCTATCGATTAAGACCAAGATCATCGAAATCGGTCAAAAATTGACCGAGTTATGACGTTTTCCGTGAGAGGAGTTCAAATTCAGCCTACCATTTTTGAAGAAAAAATCATACCGAGAGTTACGCGTGTCAAGCTTCATCTCCACTGTAACTTCTCTCCCGTAATGTTTTCCTTCATCAGTGATACAATATGACTAAAAACCAGTGTATGACTAAAACCAAACTGTTGTTGGTAACAGTGTCTAGTCGGTGTCCGACTCATGCCGTAACCATAGCGACCAGGGAGGACCGGGGAGACTCGCGCAGAATTCGGCGACAACTTCGCCCGCCAGCGACAGTTTTCGAGTGCGCGCGCTCAGTGCAGTGGCAATTTGTTAGTGCCGTATTCATTCGTTTTTTCGGGATTATGGAAAAGGACAGTGAAATTGTCTGTTCTTTCACAATTTCACTGTCCTTTTCCATAATCTCGAAAAAACGAATGAAAACGGCACAAACAAATTGCTCCTGCACTGAGCGCGCGCACTCGAAAACTGTCGCTGGCGGGCGAATTTGTCGCCGAATTCTGCGCGAGTCTCCCCGGTCCTCCCTGGTCGCTATGGTTACGGCATGAGTCGGACACCGACTAGACACTGTTACCAACAGGTGTTTAGTCATATTGTATCACTGATGAAGGAAAACATTACGGGAGAGAAGTTACAGTGGAGATGAAGCTTGACACGCGTAACTCTCGGTATGATTTTTTCTTCAAAAAACGGTAGGCTGAATTTGTACTCCTCTCACGGAAAACGTCATAACTCGGTCAATTTTTGACCGATTTCGATGATCTTGGTCTTAATCGACAGGTATTGAGTTGATCTTTAAAACGCGACCAAGAAAAGATCGCTGAAATGATCAGTTCGGAAATTACAGCATCAGTCCACTTCTTTTTGGGACAGCCTATGTAGAAACTTGGATTTGGCACCTAGGCCCTCAAGAAAAATATCTGTTCAACTCATATCCACACTCCAAACGCATTTTTCATAATTTGAAATGGTTGTTTTACAAAAATTTTGAATAAGTTTCTCTTGAATGCTTGTTCTTGAATAGATCTTTTGAGAGTTCAAACTTAAAAAATGACCTCATTAAAATGTATATCAAATCATGAAGGCAAATGTAATTCTGACTCATTTTTCTGCTCACAACAGGTGTTAAGGAAGCATTTGCTGGAATGCCTAGCTGGATGAATCTCGAATTAGCGGAGCACTACTTACAATTTTCAATGGCAGCATACGGCTGGCCTTTTGTTATGTATCGTTATTGTTTAACAGGAATCTTTAAACTACTCTCGAACGTAACTTGTTGTTCCTGTTTTAGGTAATTAAGTTAACTTTAAGTTAAGCTATTTTCCTGTCCACTAGTGCTTTCTATCAATTTGTCCTGACTCCTACTATTTCATAATTAATCACACTCATTTCATGATGAGCGATTAATATTCATCAAATTTGTTTAGTTACTCGCCAAATTCTTGCAATGTGTGTTTAATAGGAAACATTTTAAGTTTTTTTTTTCATATATATATATCTATTCTGATAGTGCTAATATATCTAATACTCCAATTATTATTCTTTGGTTGTGATTCATGTTGCTTTTTTTCCTCAACAACCAGAGGGATACAAGTACAAGTATCTTTATTTTACAGTCTTATAAAAATTACTTTCGAAAATGTTTTTATCATCTCTCATTAAAGAGAATGCAAGGGAAAAAAATGTATAGTTCTTTGTAATTGTCTCCTGAAAGAGACAATGGAAATTGCATTTTAAGCTGAACTTTTTGCAGAAATTAATTCAATTTTGGTTTTTTCATGAGTTGATTATTTCATATTCAATACTACTTCCATAAACTATTATTACCCTTTTCATCAATTTGTTAATTTCTTTCTTTCCATTTATCACAGAGCTAAGCCAACTGTAGTGCGAGAAGACAATTGCTGTCTGTGCAATTTAGCCGGTGTAAAATATATATCCAGAACATCGACGCAAGATATTCTGTTTGTTTCATTTCGTAATCATATTTTTCAGGTAAGTTTCACAATGCTCTTTTAATAAGTTTCCCACAAAAAATGAAGTTTCACCGATTATAACGCAGAACGCTAAGCCGTTTCTCATAGGACCAGAGATTCAAAATGAAATTTCATTTTCTATGATCTTTTCAGGGATTGCTTATGCAACCCACAAAAATTATCCAAGACTCTAGGTGCTTTGTGTCCTCTTTAATTTGATATAAAATATTTTTGATATCAAAAAATAATTTCTCTCTTGTGGAAAGAAAAGCATATGGCTGTATTAAAAATTATTTTTTCACCAGGACTGCACAAGACTTGTTTAAATAACAAAATTTTTAACGAGACTAACTTGCGCAAATTACCAAATGAAATTTTTGCTAGTGAGTCTCATTAAATTTTTTGTATTCATATAGCCATATATATTCATGATAAACTTCATCTACCTTGCATTTTAAATAGCTCAGGCAAATCATCTTGCTGATTGAACAATTTTTATGTCAGTGTGGCTTACAAAAGATGGTTTGAATGAGCTGCCCATAATAATTGATTTCTTTTCCTTTTTTTTTGCAGTTACCATTTTTTGTAGTTGCAGATCATAAAACTAAATCAATTGTGATAAGTATCAGAGGTTCAATATCCATGCGTGATATTTTTACGGACTTAACTGCGGTCGCAGATAAGTTTGAAGTTGAGGGGTTACCTCCTGACAGTATGGTAAGTTTTTACATTTCTTTTCATGTCACTTCTCCATGCCATTTCTTAGAAACTTCGGTAATTATTCTTCTCTACCTGAAGCGTATTCTGTGAAAATTTCAAGGCATTGATATTGGTTTGGTCCTCTTTTAAAAATAAAAGGGGAGCAAAGATTTTTAAACAGCGCAACTGAGGTACTCATTCTTGCAATTTTACCGCCGACTTGTGCTGTATACTATTCTCAATTCTGAAACCTCTCTTTAAAGGTTATATGGAAAATTAATCGTAACAATCGGGTGAGAGAGGATAACATTTGGTTTTATTATGTAAACTTCTAGAACTATTATTTGAAAAGAGAATCTTTTAACGACTAATTAGGTGCAAGAGGCAGTTGCGCTGGCTTGAGGCATCATGTCATATTAGCGTGGAGGAACCCCGGTTGAGATATCATGTCGCGCGGTATCCGATGAGTTTCTTCACTCTTTGCGTACCAAGTGATAATCATTTGAAATAGCAAGAGTAAGTTTAGAAGAGGAAAAATTTAATGTTAATTTTTGGGAGAGCCGTTGTAGTAGAAAACACTGGAATTCTGATGAGGCAACACAACACACTTTATTCACCTTAGGAGCAGGATTACAAAGTTGGAAATATTGCACTTGGTAAAATATCTTCGAATGACGTGCGAGAACTTAAGAGAAGACTTGTAGTCTGTAGCTGAGATGGTGAATGCAAAGTAAGGTTCCTGGAGCCAAGGAAAGGCTATAACTTGAAACCATCAACCATCCGATGCACAGATAAAAAAGATATTAAATAAATGAGATGATGCGGCTGATAGTATACAAGCATCAGCTTAAAGTCTGAAATGCTTGACAAGTTGGAATGAAGGAAGAGACAGAAAAATATAGAGGGAAAAAGGATAAAGGAAAATTCTGTCTCTGCGAAAATTTTGAAGAAAACATTGCATAATAACAGTCTGTGAGAATCGAAAGTACGTAGGTGAATTTTTCATATTTTTTAATTTTCTAGGCACATAAAGGAATGATTGCCAGTGCTAATTATGTGAAGAAAGAACTTGAAGACGGTGGTCTTCTTGACAAAGCATTTGCTGCTCATCCTGATTACAAGCTCGTTTTAACAGGTGAACACATTTTTTCCTCCTTTACCCCACCTCTTACTTTTAAATTGTTTGGAAGTTCTATTTTCCTGAAAATCAAGTCACAAATGTTTTTTTAAATTACATTTTCAAATTTAGTAGAGCATTCTAAGTTATATCTGCTCAGCAAACTTTTATTTCTTGCAAATTCTATTACTAGATTGAAACAGCTTGACTATTCTTTCATGGAAGTTGGCTTTCTGTTGTTTAGTGGACATAGCATTTGTCCTATGTTTTGGAGGACCCAGGTTTAATTTCCAGCCGGCTGACGTGAGTTTGATAGCCTCAGACAATCAGTCGCATGAGACCGAAAGAAAAATGTATTTCATGTTCCATGTTGTAAATACCAAATTGTATAACAATGTAATAATATTAATTTCTGTATAAGAAGAAATTTTGAGTAAAAAGTAAAAAAAAAAGAGGCTGGTAATGAGACCGGGGGTTTAAGTGTGGGTTTAACTTCTTGAAACTGCTTGAAGTACCAAGGAAGAAAAAAGACAAAAATTGATCCAGTTTTCAAGTGAACAAGTTCGTATTTTTAAGAAGGATACATCAAAATCACCCCCAAAATATACCTAGCACTAGCGTTACATAAGTTGGCAGTGTTTAACTTTCCGTTTGCAAGCAAACATCCATTTGTCATCCAAAAGTGATCGAGGATTGACTGACAGTATGTGTAACAACGAAGAAGTTCTGCTTTTTTGCGCACAATAGGTTGGTTATCAGAAGACACTGATAACCAATAAATTTCTTTGTGGAGGTATTGCTAGTAATTATCCTACTGCAAGTGGCAGTCAGAAATAAACAACTGCCAACTTATCTGACGTGAGTTTGGTTTGAAGTAGACTTCCATGGAATTTCAATTCGTAGATCACATCTGGCTGTAGTCATTGAAGTTTCACGTTTCATTAAGAAAACTAACTAAAATTTGGAAGCAGGATTTTGGATGGAAAACTTATTTGCAATTCTTATGCAGCACATTGCAAATTGTTTTTTACTTTCAGGACACAGTTTAGGAGCTGGCACTTCTGTTTTACTAGCAATATTGTTGAAACCAAAGTATCCCGATGTGAAAGTTTATGCATTTGCCACACCAGGTAATTTTTTAAACTCTGTTTCTAAGAATTTAAATTGTAACTTTCCAAAGAGTGGGGCATTGGAAAGAATGAAATTTTTTTAAACTGTTATAACACAAAAAAATGTAAAGATGACCTCTATTGCACGTACATTGTTCTAGCTTAAGAGGGTAATCTGTCAGCACCTCAAAGACGTTCATAACTCTGTTGATTTTCACCGAAAGGATCTGATGTAAGTTTGAACGATCACTAAGTATCAAAGGTCAAAGAATCGCAAGTAACTGTATTGGTAAATTCCTTTTCATGTAATTTCTTGCACTCTGAATACGCCTAAAAACGACATGGCCCTAACTTAAACAAGATTTGGTACATAATTTAAAAAAGACATGATGGCCCTACTCAATGCCAAATGCCTATCTTTTAACACACGAAAAAAAAAAAAATGGCGTAATGCTCTCCTTGACCTTCTCCTCATCTAAAGGATTATGCATTCCATAGAGAGCCCCTTACTAGGTTAGTTCACATAGTTTCTGGACATCTGCTGTTTAACTCCAAGAGGAAATGCAGTTCCATAGATACAGAGTAATTTTTTTTAGTCAGCCCTGATCATTTTTACCAGTTGTATAATCACCTTGGAGTCAGGGAATTTGAAAATGAAGAAATTATGGCAACCCCGCAAGAAATGCATTTTAAGGTGAACTTTTGAGTTGATACAAATTTAGTTGCTGGAATTGATTTCATTAATCTTTGTCTTTTTCCAGCTGGATTATTATCAAGAGAAGCAGCTCGTTACACGGAAAGTTTTGTAATGACGATAGGTGTGGGGGATGATTTTGTCATGAGGCTGAGTATTGAGTCAGCAGAAGACTGTAGAACAAATATGTTGAACGTTCTGCAAATGTGTAGATTACCAAAGGTCAGTTGTTCTTCTTCAATGTCACTTTAGTAAAATTATTAATAATATATCAATATTATAGTAATTGAGTAAAATTGTTCCTCTTTTCCACCAATTGTGGGTAATAAGGTATGAAAGGAAAGCGTAGCTCTTTATTGATTTCTTTCTATCCCTTTAATTAAATTTTAGGGGAAAATTTTTTACAGGAGGTACATGGTTTGTATTAATTTATTTTCTCACTTGTTGACGGACAAGAGGGTATGGTAAGGGCACAGTTTTTTTTTCCAAACAAGCCTATAGGCACCTAACTGCACGTGAGGTGCGCAGGAAAATCCAAAACAAGTAGCATGTTGAATCGTGAATATTTCAGCTCCTTTTTGATCCAAGTAACTAATTTTTTTACTTTGGCCGAAACATGAATTTTATTTTAACCTTTTAAAATTTCACCAAAATGTACCGTAAGCCAGCAAGCCCCCACTGATGCGCAGGGCTTTTTTTTTCCATCAAAAATTCTCAATTGAGAAAAAATATGTTTAACACGAGAATATTTGTTAAACTTTGTCCTAAATTGAGTCTTATGGAAAAACTAAACCTCAAGCCTCTTTTTCGCGGTTGAACCTTGATGCGACTTTGTGTTTCTGTTAAACTTGGTTCAAACGTACTTTTTCTAAAAAATTAGTTTTTCGTAGTAAAATTCATTTTGTAAAAATTCTCATCAGTAGGTACCTTTTTGGAATAGATGCTTTAATTGCTTTTGCTAGTTCTTCTCCAGATTTAAGCAGTATAAAAAATGATAAGTGTGAAAATTGAATGAAGATTTTATACTAATTGTAAAAAAGAAGGGGAAAAAAGTACTTATCAGAGAGCAGAAGTGATATTTGCCGGTGAAATGGCATCGGGTGTAAGTGGCATGGAATGAAACCACAGAACTTCTTTTGATTGACTCCATTCCTCTTCTATCCTGGCCAGGTTTTTATTGAGGAAAACATTTGATTAGACTTCATGACAAAATCAAGTGTTTTGAAAAAAACTCATTTGAAGCTTTAAGAGAGCGACCCTGCCTATTTTGGCTGTTAATACTGCATAGGAGCGTCGAATCAGTATAAAAACATAACAGTGTGTTTCCAAAGATGCGTTGATGCTGTATAATTGATTTTTAAAGTAAAGAACCATTTTATAATATGCCCTTTCACGGGCAAACTCTTCAATTCTCTTTTCGTTATTATTTTTCAGTATCGAGTGTACTTGAATGGTTTCGGATATGCTTTATTCGGCGTTCCATCGCGAGATCTTGAATCAACATGGCGTGCTGATCGACTGAGGACACCAGCTAACCAAAGAAGCTCACCATTGCTATCCAAAAGTTCTATCATCGAAGTGGTCGTACCTACAGCAAACGTGAGCGCTCAGTATACTAGTTTTGTTTCAAATATTTGCTTCCTTGTAGGTTTTCCTAACAACACAAAGTGCTAAATGAGGATTTCAAAGGAAATTCAATTCTGGACATTAAATCATGCGTACATACAAACATGAGAGTTGTTTTCACAGTGTTTACCGGTGCTCTGTGACACAGAACCGCCACAATCCTTTATTCTTCCATAGCCCCTCAGGTAGTTGACACTCCCCTGTTTCTTTTAAGACTCCTGTGGCAGCTCTTTTAAGTTATCCCCTTCATCATTTCGAAGGAGGGGGTCATTTAATGATATTTCATCATCATTTTTATTTAATGATCAGTAAATGCCTATGAAGTCAGTCTCTTATCGAAACAATCTAGAACAAGTGTGCAAAAAGGTTACTTTTCAGTTTCAGTATTTCAGAATTTCTTTTCACATTTTTACTCTTATAGAAATTCTTGTAGAAAAATCGAAATTTGATTGAATATATTCTTCATAATTTTAACGATATCTTCAGCACAAATCTCAAGTTTAATGATTCGGTAGTTTGTGGAAATTCTGAAACATTGTAACTGAAAAGTCCCTTTTTCATACCTAAATCCTCAACTATTCCTAAATCAGAAGATATCTATGAATCCTCCAAATTTGAACTCCATATTTTCCAATCACAAAAAAAGAAAAAGAAATATTATAAATAAAATAAAATTTTACTAAAATCCACTTAACTTTAAATAAATAGTCTCCCCCTCCTATTTTTTCATGGAATGCAACATAAATTTATTTTCTCCTCGTACTTTTATATGCATTGAATCAGTGGATAGCCCTCTCAACTTTCAGCACAATTTTAAACTTTCCCGCGATTTTTAAAATATCTACAATACCTCATAAAAAGTCATGAATTTCATGTTTTACATTTTCTTGTCATGTTCTAGGATATTGCGCACAGGAGGTTCTCAAAATCTCGACTATTTCCTGCCGGTAAAATTTTGCACATAACGTACAAAAAGAAGAGTAAAGAAGAGAAGAAAGCCGCAAAGTAAGTTACTGTTAAAACCATTGCATTCCGAAATGAAGTATTGATCTTCATTATTCATTTTTTTAAATTTTAGAAAAAAACAACCACTTTCGATCATGCTTGTTCTAAAAAAACCTTTTGATGATTGAGTAGATGCAAAATTTTCAAGTTTTTTGCAAATAGAATCTCCATGTTACATACTAGTTCATTTTTTCTCTTTGTGAATATTTTATTGACATGATTAATATTGAAATTTGGTCAAAATCGGTATTCTTATATTTTTTACCAATGCATATCGTTAAAATAAAAAAATAAACCGAAAGAAACTTTTATCCTCTCTTTCCAATGAACTGGCGCCCAATTTTTTTTTTTTTTTTTTTTTTTTTTTTTTTTTNTTTTTTTTTTTTTTTTTTTTTTTTTTTTTTTTTTTTTTTTTTTTTATTTTTTTTTATAATTCATTCATATAATTTCACCAAATTTGTTCCCTTTATAAGTCTATCAGTATTTAATGTATAAACCTTAGGGTTTTTTTTTGTTTTTTTTTTAATACTGAAAGTTATTGCTCAATACCCATTCAGTCTACATCCAGATAAGACCACCTCTCCGTTTTTTATTTGTTCCTTAAATCCTTTTTTTTCCCTTCCAGGAAATCAGGTGAAAGATCTGGTGAAACATTTGAAATGCGATGGGCACACCCTGAAGACTTTGTAGAATTGAGGATAATGCCTCGTATGCTTCTGGACCATCTGCCAGACAACATTCACAAGACCATTAGAACAGTATTAGATGAACAAATAACCGAGATCACTATGGATATGAATGAAATAACCATTTTGTAAAAACACAAAGTTCTGATGAACCAAGCAAGAATATCTTGCATTTAACATATCCTGAGTGAAGAAAAAATGAGCTGTAAGTTTGAAATCCGTTCCAAGTCTAACCTATTGTCTTCGTATGACTTTTCTCTTTTTGCTAATTGGCAGGTCTTTCTTGTAAGTATTGGATACCAGTCAACAAAGCAACAATTAGCCTCTAGGCTTGCTCAGTCTTAAAGACAAGAAGCTATGGTAGAAAACTGTTCCCTAAATTAGCCACTGCTGATTAGGATCAAATGTGGCTCAAATCAAAGCATGACTACTCAGTTAGCTAAAACTGATTTAATACAGAACTATCAACCTAGGGGGCTACAATTTGGGGAAAAGACATGTTTGTCCCTATTTTAAGGTCAGGCGCCCCAACTCTACTCTTGGTATGTCAACCATTCAGAGAGCATCTAAGGAGTCAAGTTCTGGACCCCTCTCTTTTCAGGAGTTGAGCCTGTTCCAAGTTCATGTCCAAATCGAATCAACAAAATTTTGATTATGTTAATATCATACAAATCAGCCTTACCATATCCAGTGTGCTCCTAATCAGAAGATTATTTTCCTAACCTCATTTTTAAGATTTTTGGCATCAATTGAAGAAACTGCATTTTGTGATACGTTAAAGCTGAAAACTATCTTGACTAAAAGTTTCTTTAAAGTTGGTTTAAGCTGATTTTTTTTACTTAATCTTTTTTTCTGTGTACAGTGATTTATTTTTCTACTTTCGCCGGCAAAATATCATGACAATATCTCTAGATAATATAGACCTGACTCATTATACTTAATTTTTATTTTTGTACATTTCTATCTAAGCATACGTGTTACGCACTGCTAGTGCTTCCTGGTTGCCTACTCTCAGTATTAGAGGTATAGCTTGTACCTCGTCTTAAAGACTTTTCTCCTCCTAAAGACATGTTTGGTCGGAAAGCCTTGTTTTCGCTTTTAATTACATACTTATTCCTCCTCTGTATTGGAAATTTACCTCTTGCTCAAATGTTCCCGTATCGATCAGGCGGTGCTTTCCATGAATTAGGTTGCAGGGAATCAAAATTGGAGCTGAATCTCATATTGAAAGTGGTACTAATTCATTCTGCTCAAGTAAGAATTCATTATAATAGTTAAGTTTATTTCTGTTGTTCTTTTCTCTGATGAAGTATTTTTCATAATTATGATCAGACCCAAATTAGAAATAATCATAATTTTATTTTTTTCACTTTGAACTTAATCAGCATTATTCCTTAAATTGATGACCACTGATCACTGGTGCTTTCTTTTGTAAGGACTTGATGATTTAATTGCCTAACGTCTTTTTCACTGAATGGGTTTACTTATAGGATGGGAGGGTTTTTTTCTTTCAGTCATGTGTTCGTTACACACGTCGCAAAACATATGTAGTTTGGGAGTTTCACTGATATTATATCAATGAAAATTCACATGATTGATCCGAAAGCCTTTAAAATAAACAATCAAATACAACTATCAAGTGTGCATTGAATCATTTGTCTATAGTGTGAAAAGGACTTAAGGTAATAGCTTTCATCCAGTAAAATTATGTCCATGGATTTCGGCATTATCAGCACTCTACACTTCTTTTGTTTGCATTTTAAGAATTTAAATACATGGCCTAAATTTTATGATACACCTTTATTTTTCAAAATTGGTGCTTTAACTTTCAATTAAGCTCATTAAATGATTTTTTTTTTTTTTTACAGTTCTTGAATGTAAGTACTGAAACTTGATCCTTTCAAATTTTGACTGAGAAGCTGACTATTTGATTTTATTTAGTCGTAGGTACACTTTGTATATATTCTTTCTCCTTTTTTCAAATGCTTCTTGTTGATTTTATTGTATAGTTTATCCCTAGTTATCCTTGAATATTTTATTTGTAAATTATTTTTGGCTGTGTACATCATTTGTTGTATCGATCAAAGTTTTCTAATGTTTTAGACGATTTTACAATTGTGAAACAAGTTCTGAATTTTTCCTGTCCCAAATTTTTGTACTCTTTTTATACTCAAACTTTTACAGATTTAAGGCCTTATTATTCATTGATCATTGTTCTCGCAAGAAATTTTAAAACAAAGTTCTACTGTTTGGTTCCTGGCGATAATGTTATTTTTTTATTCACATTTTTGGCAGATTTTATGCTCATTTTTGAGAATATGTTACAAGTATCTTAACTAGATGAAGAATAAATAGATTAAAATAATAAAGTTTCCATTATGGCAGACATTTGGCATTTTTTTATAACATCACCTTCCGGCTAAAAAGTTACAAGCGCCGTTTGTGCTGAGGTTCTGTCTTGCCTACTTTTCAAATTTGTCCAATTTTTTACAGAAAAACTAAAGAATAGAATCACTTGAAAATTTTCCTTGGTATCAGTGTTGTCATTGAAGTAAATCATTGAAATCCTCATGAAAGTAAACACAAAAGTTATAAAGAAAAAATTTAAACAGTATTAAGATGTCCATTAACATAGCATCCAAGCGTAAATGGTGCTTGTGAAACTTTGGCTGGAAGGTAACGTTATACTCTAAACTTTTTAGCAGCTGATTTACAAAATAAAAGTCATGCTCGTTCCCTGAAAAAATAATCGGTAGAACAATGTGGAAATGCCAGCTTAATTTTATTCTGTTTTTGAGGAGCGTAGAGAGTTTTTTAATTTTGGAATCGGCTGTGCCCCTCTCAATTTCATTTGATGGTTTCTCAACTCCACAAAAATGTCTTTTTCATGGAACAAAGGACATTAACACATGGGCAGATAAACAAATTTGTATAATTTATTGCTCTTCCTCATAACATTTAACTTTTTTATCCATTTTATATTCTTTAGTTAATGCCCGGATTGTATGCTGTTTTTCTGTATCCATCCAATTCTCTGCTCAGTTATTATTTTGACTGTATATCAACTAAAATCTATCTTTTTTATGCTGTTGAATCATCGACGAGTTTTTAGAAATACCTTTCAACTATATTTTGTAATTTCTTTTGTTTTTGTAAAAGAATATTTTTTCAAATTGCTAAGAATAAATTTCATTATCTTTCTTCTTTCAATGACACTCTCCTTTTCTTTCATTTCTGTATTCCCATCGCTATCAGTGATTGAAAAAGCGACTGGATTCGAAAAAATCTTTTCAGCTCTCATACTGGAGAAAGTAAATTATTGCTTTAGCATCTAGGTTGTCTAAAATGTGTCTGATGACCCCTAAGATGCTTGTTTAATTGGTCCTGAATGGCCCTTTTTATAGAGCCTTAAATGATTTTTGTCAAGTCCTTTCCATTCCACTGGTTGATAAGGATCCTTGCCTTCTTCCAATTTTGTATAATCAAACAAAAATGGCTATGAAAATATAATAGCATTTCTAAACTGTTCTATGCATGTATTTTTTCATAATTCCAAATGCAAATAGACTATTATCGTTTTAAGACATCCAAATGAGATGTTCACTTTTTGGGTGGACATAAAATATTGAAGAATCGATACACACATACATTAACAAGTTCCAACTTTTATTATCTGAAACTCAATACATCAAAGTAACGTATTTAACAATGAATTGTTTAACTTGAAAAAACAGCTAAATTTGTATTGCGCTTGTAAAACAGCATCAAAACTATCCTAGTTATAAAATACAGGACTTTGGTACAAAATAGGATGTGGCATGATTTACACAAACGGATTTTCTGCTGATTCGTAACAATACTTGGTAACTCTTAGAGGAAGGGTTAAAACATAAAAACCTACGTTTTAAAGGCACCATGACAAAATTTGATAATTTTTGACTCCATAAGCTCCCTTAAAATTGCAGAGTTTTGTGAAGATTCACAAAATGGAATACTAGATGAATCTTTGAAGGACATTTGGACTGAATTTTGCAATTTAGAACTATAAATTCTGGCTCTTCTGGAAAAACACTTATGTGCATAGGGGAACTAATGGCACATTCGTTGTTTTTAAACCGGGCCAGAATTCATAGTTCCAAATTGCAAAAAGTCCATTTCTTCTATACCTGGTAGACTGATTATTTTAATTCATATGTAGAAGTCACTTCATTTATAAAGATGAGGACTAATATAGAGATTTAAGCTCGGTTAATCTTTTTTTAAGGTAAAATACAGATACAATTATGCTTGAAAGCAATGAAAAATTACAACCGACAGCATTTTAAATTGAATGATCAGATGAAATTGACAATTTTTTCTCAAAAAATTTGGGACGGTAAAAAATTCTACCATACTGACAAGACATAGAGAAAAGGTAGAGCAATTTTATAGCTCTACAAATGTGCATTGTGCAAGTGCTTACAATTGTTGAGAAATTGAAGTAAAATACAATATTTACAAGAGAAAACAGTTTTCAGTTTTAATAATTTTAAAATTAAAGGATGCACGGTTCAACAACAGTTCCGATCAAAAAAAATTGAAGGATGAAAAGAAGAGGATTTAAAAGTGGGGTGATCTTAGGCACTTTTGGCACTGATTTTATCTCTTCGCATGAGATATTTCTGGGGGTATGAATTTAGAATGAGCCTGGAGCTCAAAACAGAGAATCTACAACCAAGTCACTTAATGACAGTAGGTACAGAAAATGAAGAACTTTCTTAACAGCACAAATAACTTAGCGAGATAAAAAAAAGAAAAAATTACACAACAAAAGAAACTCACAAATAATAAAAAACAACAAAAACAGAGGTGTATAAATACAAGAATAATTTACTTACAAAATATTACCTGCAAACAAAGAGGACAAGAAAGGTGAATAGGTGAAATCACCGTTTCCAGAAGGCAACAACTTTTTGAAAAGACGGATTTGTGCTCGATGAAACAGTTTTTTTGGCTGTCGTAGAGGGTGATGTGGTTTTCGACTGCGCTGGAAGCTGTGGCTCGTACAGCTTTTTTAGGCGGTCTGTCTGTCGAACTTTTGAGGCATTGACTGCAGAAGAAACAGGGAAAGAGGGATTATTATTACTGTCGGATGGAGACCCTGCGCTTTTCTTATAACCACTAACAACTCCATTTGCAAGATCTTTATCTTTCAAGATAAAGGAATTATTATTAATACTTGATTGCCTAATTAGGAAATTTCTATTGCTAAAACTATTACTACTGGACTTATTTTCCTTGATACTAGGTTTGATACTAGATTCCTTGCTACTAGGTTTGATACTAGATTCCTTGATACTGGGTTTGATACTAGATTCCTTGATACTAGGTTTGATACTGGACTCCTTGCTACTAGGTTTGACACTGGACTCCTTGCTACTAGGTTTGATACTTGATTCCTTGATATTGGGTTTCATACTAGAATCTTCGATACTAGCTTTTATACTGGATTCCTTGATTGTAGGTTTAATACTAGATTCCTTAATACTTGGTTCCTTGATAACAGGTTTAGTTTTCGGAACTTTTACAGTCATTTTTTTGTCATTCATTCCTTCATCTTCTTCTGTGATGGAATAGTCTTTGTTGAAGAGAGGTTTAGGGGAATGAGAGAAAGGGGCACTAATAGAGGAACAATCACTGATGCCACTATCACTACGTTCACTACATATACGCATGCGATTAGATTTCAGATCGAAGCTCTCTGAAGAGTATTTTATCTCAGGATCTCCTTCCTCGCTGAGGCTCGACATCCGTGACACACCACTTCCAGATAAACTGGCGCGGGGGCTGCTACTGAAAGAGGCGCTCGAATTGGAGTTGCGGCGACTAGCAGCTGAGAGATTAGCCATCCTACCAAGCGCTCGGATAGCATTTCCTGTTTTCTGAATATTAGTGAACACACATAAAAACTCATGCAGGTTATTGAAAAACAAAACAAACATTCACAGTACAAACAATGAAAGTTTTAGATGTGTTGAAAAACAAAACTTGACACAAAAACTCAACATCAAAAACTAAATAAAGACTTCAAAGTAGGTACTTTTTTTTTCAAAGAGAGAAGGTAATTTCTCAAATTGATTGCTCTCCACTCATTTTCTGTTTTCTACACAGTTTCTAAATTTCTTTTGGATCATTTCGTTTCAAGAGATAAAACCCCTAAAACCACACGCAAAAAACCGTGCATTTAACATCTTTCAACAGTGAGTAAACACTTTTTGTGAAGGAACTGGAAACTTATAAAGTTTGACAGTTTAGAAGAGAGGAATATTTTGTGACAGCACACACAAGGCATTTTCAATGAAAAATTATTTTTGGTCAGACTTTAAGGGTTATTTTATTTTTTTGTTGGGGATCAAACGTAAAAAATTATGTAGCTGTGACTTATTAGCGAGCCGGTCGGTCTTCCATTAAGGATAAACTACCCAGTTGGAATCCACATCATTTTGTTTTTTGGAAGTTTTACAAGCTAAAACTAAGGGATTAAGAAAACACACCAAGACTCTAATACTTTTCGAAAATAGATAAAAAAGACGTACCTGCCATTTGCGGCGAATGATAAATTTCTTAAGTTTATCAGTGCTGAGCGCAACACAGCTCATTTCAGTATCAACTTGGGTCATCCATTTGTGTTCCAAACACTGCTTGGCTGTTAATCTTTTCCTGAGCAGAAGGCATAATACAAAACAACATTGTCAAAATGAATCAAAACATCGTTTTACATACATATGCTTCAGAGGTCAAACTTTTATAAAGGTATGGTTTTAAAAGCGCAAGAAAAGAAGTTAAAATGCAAGAGGAGTTCGAGAAGTGAAGAGAAACATGCACAAAACAAAGAATAACTCCAGTAAATTTTCTACATTGGATTGTTAAGTCAACATTTTTATTTGTTTCAACAATTGCTACCGATGGGTCTTGTCATAGATGCATTAAGATCCACCAAAATTTTCTTTAAATTTCTGAGCTGAATGACGCAAAACCAGAGCTCAGGATTTATCTTTCTATTATTACTTAGGCGTTGGCAAATTTTTTTAAAAAGCACAATACCAACACTACCACAAAAGTAGTTTCCTCCTCTTCTTTAAGTNGGGGGGGGGGGGAGACTGTCGATTTTTCAGGTTCTGTTTGCCAGTCATGATCCAACGGTGTTTTTTTCTAGTGTCATTAGGAATCTCTTACTATGCAAATCCAACGTCATCCATTTTTTTCTCCCATGGAATAATTTTTTAATTTTCCAGAGGTAAAAATTGGAAAATAAGTTGTTTTAGTTACAAAAAAAGAAATCTTTGATGGACTGAAACTGGTCCCAGTTGGAGACAACATGCAATTGGAAATTGCCTGCTTTGAATAAATAGAAGAAAGAATATTGCCTCGATACGTACTCTTTCCTCTTCACAAGAAGCGCACTGATAAAGTCTTTGGCATCTTGAGAAATGGCATCAAATGCTTCGTCATCAAAATCAAAATCAGCTCTTGTTATGTTTGCAAATGTCTCTGCATCATTGTCACCCATGAATGGTGACAGACCGGATAACCTAAACAAAAGAAAAAATCAAAGCATTAATTGGTCATATGGTAGAAAATTGAAACTAGAAACCACATATCTATGCCATAACTGTCACTAAATACAAATCTTTACAAATGATTAGATTCAATTACGATGTTCAATGGTTTCAAAATTATGTTGTTTATAAAATCAAGTGGATACATAAAGGATTGCAAGACAAATAAAAAAATAAGCATTAAAAAAAAAAAATTCAATGGAGACTTTTTACTTCTAAAAGACAGTATTGTTTTAATGGTACAGTTTTGTTTATGAAAGCTTGATCTTGGAGCAACTTCCATACTCAAAGTTTTCGTTGTTTCATATAATCTACGTAAAATGTTGCTTCCTTCTATTCTTTGATACATACATGGGTGCATTTCACCAGAAAAATAAATAATAGTGACAAAGATATCCACAAGAGAAAAATTCTAAATTGTTCTCAGAGTGACAAAATTTCCTTAAATTTGTTTGACATTTTTAGCTCCTTAATTTCTCAAAATAAAAGATAAAATAATGTATTTCTTTCAGAAATACACTTAAAAAAATAAAAAATTACTACTTACAACACGTAACAAATGACTCCTACAGACCACATGTCTGACTCAACACCAATTGGTTCATAGTTGATAATTTCTGGAGGAATAAATTCAGGCGTTCCGAATAAATGCCTTTCATCTACATTTGGGTCAATTTTTCTTGCTAAACCGAAATCTATAAGTTTAATTTCGTGTGAGGTTCGCGTGCGGCACATTATGTTTTCCGGCTGTAAAAGAAAGAATTCATAGACATGAGAATGCAGCTTTGAAGGTTTAAATAAATACAAAAATTGGAAGAATTGGAATTATACAATAGATGGGGTTCTGAAGTTACAGGAGATTTGAAGGAGTTTAATTTAGTAGAAAAACAACAACAAAATGACCAAAATAAATAGTAGAATGATGAGCAACAAACTAGATCAATAAAGGTAGATAGTCTTGGTCATGTTGAACTTTTTGACTAGAATCTACTGCTGCTTAAAGAGGTCGAGAAGCATGTAAGTGCTTGTGCACCAAGATTTTTTTTTCCTTTTAGCAATAAAACTGAATTCTGAAACAGGTATGCAGATACATTTTGTTTGAATGGTTTGGAAAAATAGACATCGATAAAATTTGACTTGTGCTGCAATTGTGAACATTTTTCCTGAATAAAAAAATTAGCTAAAAAATTTGCACAAAAAAATTTGATTGTTTCTTTCGAAAACGCTTAATATGCTGAGTTCAGCATATTTTTATAATCTTTTCCTGATACATATGAGAAATTGTAGAAAAATAGATAAAAAAAAAATGAGAACATGTACAACCTTGTGACATCATCATTTAATAACAGGTATTTTAGCAAATTAGGTTATTTTGCCATGTCTTTTCTAATAATTGTTCAATTTTTAAACCAAGGATATTCTCTTGCTGAGTTCACTTGGTGGTTTTGACTTAAAAATGGAATTAATCTCATTTCAAACACCTGCAAAATCTCCATTTAGTATTAATGCTTATAAATACCTTCAAATCCAGATGTACAACGCAGTTTTGGTGCATAAAGTCTACTCCTTCACAAATTTGCCGCATGAAAAGGATACAGTCTCTTTCAGTTAAAGTGAAGTCGTCAGCGACAACTCTCTCAAATAGCTCTCCTCCTGAAATACTGGGAGAGACACGCAAGGAAAAATGTTAGTTCCATTCAAATTCTTTTAATACTACACAAGCTTAGGGGAATAATAGAAATTGTAGAATAGATGTGATCTTATGTAAACAAACAAATAGGACGATTAGTAATAAAAATATTACATGGCAATTTGCATTGCAAATGATTTTTTTTCCTGATCCCTTTTTTTCCTTTGCTCCTTACAGTTACCATAGCCCAAAATTATTCAAAACTTCATGTAGTTTCATTAACTCATCCGAAAAGTGATAAAGTTATCAGTTTTTGAGGAGTATAAATATAAATATGTAAGTATAAAAGGGCTTATTATAGAGCATGGTGTGTAGAGTTCTTAATATTTTTTTAATTCCCTGCCGTTTCCTTGATTTTTTTAATTTCCATGGAAAAGTTATCGGATGAAAACCCATGATTTTCTCTCATTTTCCTTAGATCCTCTTTAAAAAAAACCGATATTTTTCTTCAATTTTTAGAAAAAAATTAACTTTTTCATTTTTTCAGTGCCTGATTTTTTAAAGTTGAGTTTTAGCTGACTAAACATATGAAAAATAATTTGATCCTCTCGTAGACAAAGAAAAAATTCCTTATTTTCAGCATAAATTCCACCATGAATTTCCTGATCATCCTAGAAGTTTTTCATTTCTTAGTGAATCCTGGTTTTTCCAGCCTGGACACCATATATGGGAGTCAAGAAATTCATGATAGGTAAAACATGGTACAGGTATGGTGAAGTTTGTAAGAAAAGTGTAAAAAAGCATTTTACAAGGCACTAATAAATTAATTTTTTTACAGATGCAACAAATTAAACCTGTGAGGCAATCTTTAGTAAAAATTAAATTAAACTTAATTTAATGACTAAACTTAATTTTTTGGGTAAAAGAGATCTATGACAATTGTACTTACTATTCTAAAATCATTATGACTTCTCTAGAGTTTTCAAAAGCAGCAATGAGCTGTAACAATTTTGGGTGCCGCAAACAGTTCATGATATTAATCTCCTCCCAGACCTTTTCCTTATCTTTCGCTTTAATGCACTTCACAAACTTTGCGGCAAGCTTACAACCAGTCGTCTTGTCTGTTACTTTGTGCACGATTCCAAACCGACCTTTGCCAAGTTCTTCGAGGACTTCAAAACGGTCCTTGAAATCTTCACCGTTTTCAACTTTCACTGTATCTGTTCCGTAAATGGCCACTAGATCATCCTCTGAAGACAGTAAATAATAAATTATTAATATTAACATGAATGAATATCACAATACAATACTAAAGACCTCAGTTGCTGAATAGTGATTAATAAAGCAAAATAAAATTAATAATCGTCCAAAAATTGAACAATAAGCAGTTGTTACAAAATGACTAGAAATTGCAGTTTTTACAGCCAAATTGAAGTTTGTTACAGAAAAAATGAGTTTCTCAACTTAAAGTATGACTTTATCATAGATTCATAAATATTTCCTCACATATCTGACAACTTTCCTAGGTGTAAGATATTAAATTGAACTTATCTTGCTGCATTATTTATTTCCCGTCAGTTCCCATTTATTAAGGTTTGCTAGCTTACCTTAATTAAACATTGATGCATTTACCTCCTCTTTTTCAGCCCATGGAATCAAGATTCTCTTGAATAATTTCTCAGGGAGGGTTTTTCCCCCATGTGGTATATTCGTAACAATCTCAAAATCCTCCGGTCATATGTGATAATGGTAGGCCTCCCTTCCTTTTATGCTCTTATATTACAGTTTTCCCAACCCTCTATCGCTCTCAAAATATTTGCCAAAATATTTGCAAAATATTGAGGTAAATTCATCAGGAAATATTTTGATCAGAGGTCATCCAAAAAAAATTTAAAAAAAGGATCCACTCTTCAGTGAAGGCACAGGCATGGAACATAATTAAGAAAATCAAGCACAGCTAAACAAATTGACGGCGTAAGTTCGCAATCACATATCTTGTTTGCGGTGTCTGAAATCTCTGCTTCTTGTAATTTTTTTTATAAAGGAACAAATTGACATCATTCTTTGAAGTTTTTGCAGAATTTTCTTCACACAGAGAAGAAAAATCACGGCAGTTTTAAAGAATTGACATAGAGAAGTTTCCGGTTTAAAAAATAAAGTATGATAGGAAGTCTGAGACATCGCAAACCGAGTTATGTGATTGCTGACTTACACCGTCGAAATGCTCTTAATGTACAATTGTCAAAGATCAGTACTGACTAGAAAAATTACCTGTCTGTTTGATTTGAACTACTTGGGATTCAGCGCTGGGTTCACTAAGTCCATGAACATTTTCAGCTCGAACCCGAAAGATATAACTCTCTCCTGGTGTAAGCTCACCCACGGTGTGAGAAAGAGAATGACACCTGAAAATACAAAAAAAAATCGTTAAAACTTGACACTGATTTGAAAAAAACTTGATTGAAAAAAACTGAATCCTCGCTAAAATTTATTTCTCTCCATTTTGGTGGTAGCCAAACAGTAAAATTGCAAAATTTTGTAGGAGGTAAGTTCAGAAATATTTCATTAGGAGTGGGTCAGAAGACCAAAAAATTAGTAGTGTGATTTGGTGGTGACAATATAGAGGAAGACATTTTTTGATCATTAAATATCGACGGTGAAGCAACCAAATCACGTATTTCGTTTGCGGTGTTTAAAAATATTCGCTCTCATTTTATTTTCCTGAAGGAGAACAAATCAATATCATTCCTTGAAGTTCTCACAGAGTTTTCTCCATAAGAAGAGAAACAGTTTTCAAGATTCGACATTAAGTAGTTCTTTATTTAAAAAATCGAGTATGATCAGATGTCTGCAACGTCATAAACCGAGATATATTCTCAGGTAGTTTTATCATTGTTAAGTAAAGTAGGTAAAGGACGAGAATGTGAGATGATTACCTGTCAGTGACAACGTGCCAGTCTCTCTGCTTAACAGTCTTCATTTCTATTGTGTAACCAGTGATCATGCATCCACCATCAAACGGAGGACTCGACCAAGTGATGAGAGCAGATCTTTCGTTGGCTAAAACACTGGGTTTCTTTGCTGGTGGGTCTGGAGAACCTGAAAGAGAACAATGATTATAAGCGATCAGTAATAAATCCATAGAGGGCTAGGATTGAAAGTTCAATAATTTTGTACAGGACAGGCAGAACAAGAACATCCTGAGAATTTAAAAGAAAGAAATCTTGTAAGAAATGTCACAAATATAACGCAAGTATGTGCTTCAGAGATGTTTGCTTTGCTGCCATGATGAAACTGTGATATCACATTTCTCGGAGCAGGAATTCAAAACTTCTACTGACAGAGAACTCTATTTTGAAATAAAATCAGCTAATATTTTTCATTAACTTCTTAGAGAATTTTAAAGTGCAAGAGAAAAATTTCACCTAGAATTTTGCAAATAGGTAATGGGTCACATTGTGAGAACAGTGATGGTGGAGAAGATCAGAGAAAAACTTGAAATCACATACCTTCAACAGCGACGGATGCAAAATGGCAGTCAGCACCATGAATGTTTTCCACACTAACTACATATTTCCCACTGTCATCAGTGTTAATCCCTGAAATGGTTAGACTGGACATGCCGTCTTTTGTTACAATCTCTATGTGACCATCTGAGGACAATTCTCTACCCTGAAAACAGTTTAAAGTCAAAGGTCAGAGGTTAAAGATCATTCAAATAAAAACACTCTACTGATGTCATTGAGTTCAAATAAATGTAAACTGATCTCTATGCAACCGAAAGTTTACCTTCTCTTTTCTATCTCTTTTCAAAAGATGTAGGAAATTGGAGCACTTAATATTTTTGATAATTTCATTTTTTTTCTTTTTTTTTCTTTGTTGTTGTTAGGTTCATTAATAACTTCACTCATAATTCATTCCATTCTGAGAAAGACAGAAATTGGTAATGAAATGTAATGGAAAAAAAAAATTCAGACGAATTAGCTTGTGAAAAAAGGACAAATTAATCTTTGAGAACATTTCTAGGAATGTACTCATTAACCCAGCAACTCATAAAATTATTCTTAGTCAAAGAGTATTTTGAAACTGCATGAAATATTTATGGAAAGGGGGATGAATAACAACTGGAATGTTTACTGTCCTTGAAAAAAAGTAAGCCATACATAACTACAATAAAAAACATAAAAAAAGGAGAGAGAGAGAAGATAGTTTCTTAAGTACAAATTCTTACCGCTTTCAGCCATCGAACAAAAGGATCAGGACGTCCCACAAACGCAGCAGTCAGGACCACCTTCTCACCTCGTAGAACCGATATGTCAGCAGGGCCTTGTGTCAGAATGGCGGGGGTTTCATACTTCTCCAACTGTTCCACCTTCAGCTCTGTCAAACTCTCACAAGAGTCGTCACCGAGAGTGGCAACACACTTGACAACACCCGCATCGTTTGTGTCTACTCCTGCGATATGAAGAACACTTGTGTCTCCAACCTCTTCCACCTGTATGATAAGGCAATGTATGAATTAGATGATTCATCTTCAGATAACGTATAGTCTTACTCACTACTAATCATACTTGATATCAGGCATTTCTAAATAAAAAAAAAACAAAAACAAAAAACGTCATAAGTATGACATAACTACCTCTCAAATATACCTCTTATAACTTTTGTTTACCTGAGATAAAAAGGAATCAGTGTTTGAACTCTTTGGGTTTGATTTTAAATTTTTAAGAATTCAGAATCAAATAAAACATTCGTCCAATTTAAATTACGTTATTTCTACCTGGGGCTATCTTTGAAGTACTTTGATCATAATTAATTTTATTTTATTTTTACATTTACTTAAATTTAAAAAAGTAAAACATAACAAATGGGCATACAAGGCAAAGAAAGAGGACACAACATGCCTTGAATGTCTTAGGGGTAATGACAATCCCATGATAAACTAGTCGCCTCCCGCATGGAGGAACATATCTTGTCTGCGCTGTTTCAGTACCTAATCGTGCATTTTATTTTTTGTAGGATTTTCGTATGAATTTGCATGAGATTTTCAGTGATTTTCCTTTACACTTGCGAGAAAACACACCTAAATTTTCAGAAAAATTTATATGATGGCTCTCCTATGAAAAAATAAAATCTTCGTGTAGATATTGAAGCAGTGCAGACTGTATACATTCCTCCGTGATCAAGAAAACGAATTAGGAAACAATAAATTAAATTATTAAAGAGCTATCCAATCTTGCTGATACCAGATGATGATAGCAGAGGTCTTTTCAGAGATGCTTTGAATGTTGAAGCTCCTGGTTCTCAACTCACACTCCAGGGTGTACTACCATCATGTTCTGCGGTTTTATGTGCTCCTTTTTATGATACAGATATTTAATTCAATGGAACTAATTCATTGTTAAAGAAATTATTCACACCTTGAATTTTTGAGGATTTTTATTGGTATCTTGACCAGCAACAATCCAATTTAAAGATGGCCGCAGTCTTTTGTCCATGTACTTGATTTTGGCACAGAAAGTTGCCATTCCTCCTGCAATAGCCACCACAGGATTGGGCGATTTGACAAACTGTAATTGCGGCTCAATTGTGTCACCATTGGAGAACTCATCTGAAAATGGATAAAAGAGAGAGCAAAAATTAAGTGACTGAATGTATCATGAAATCCTGCATTTTACGGAAACTTAAACAATCTGATTTCTATAAAATTTCAAGATGTTTCTTCCATTGAATATTCCGGAATTTTTTCAACTTAAAGATTGAATATGATCAGACATTTTGAGAAATATCAACAAAGATTTGTGACATTTGGGCTTTCATTATGATATGTTTTTCACAATATCAAACAGAAAAATAAACAAATCTACTGAGTGATAATCAAATTGGTTCATTTTTCTCAAAACTGAAAAGTCATGAATTTGAAAACCAGCTAACACTATAAGGCAAATTCAATACATTGCGAAGCAAAATATTTAAAGCAAAAGCTATGTTGAACTGATGCTGAAGTGTCGAATCTATCGGAAACTATGGTCACAACCTTCTCATGGAAAGATACAAATTCAGTTCCAGATTCGCCTGTAAGTAGTTAAAAATTTAATTTACCTCTGACAATAAATTTTCCTGTGGAAATGGCATCTCCAAAAGAGTTGTATGCAGTACAGCTGTAGACACCAGAATCTGGAGAGAATACATCAGCGAACAATAGGCCGTAACTTCCACCTTCATAAACTTTGTACCTGAAATCTTCACAGTCAGGGATTTCTTCTCCATTCTTTAACCATATGACTTCCATGGGTTCAGAGCCTAGAAAAAGAGATGAGCATATTTCAAATGTTGGTTGAAAAATCAATAATAGACACGATTACAGTTAAAAGGACAAATTTGACTTTTCTTTGGCAATGGCTGGTATAAAATTGGTTAAAATAGGAGAACTCACGCCTAACTAGTTAGCAAAATTTCGGTATGGAGTTATTATGGAGTAATTCGTTATTTGGAGTATGATCGGAGTAGATGGATGTTTTTATTGTTAAAAATTATAATTCCTTATTGCAAAATGCAGCTCAAATCTTCTGCAGCTTTCCCTCTACTCACTAAAATTCTAAAAAGTAGATGCAAAAAGCGTGATCAAATTCATTGTTAAATTTCCTGCGATTTCTCATCTTGAAAGTTGGAAAAACCAAGAAAGACAGTCTACTTTTTTGCATCCTGTATGCATGCCTTCCTTTGTTGCACTTGCACTCATTTTCTTTTCTAAAAAAAACTTTTATACCTTAATTTACTGTTGCAATTAGCTTTTTACCGTTCTTAAAGGATGTATCACCTTACTTGGGAACAATCTAAAAAAATTGGTCAAACCGGTCAAATAAGGCTTCATTTCTTTCTCCTTGGAAAATAAACTCTCTTGAATTTTAATCCTTCATCTATAAATGATTAGCTTTGCTTCACAGTGACAGAAGCAATTCTGCCATGTAAATAAAACGAGCCATTAATTGTTTTCCTTTTTTCTTTTTTTTCTTTTTCATATTATTCCCTTTCAGCTATGCTACTGCATCAAGACACACCAACCATTTGGCTACAAACCATGTTAATCCTAAAGGTAGGCTACTGAAATTAATATACATATTTTTTACCTTCTAACTTGATTTTGAGCTCAAAAGGCTGGCCTTCGATGGCATGGGTTGATGCTGGTAAACCAGAGACAAATACTGGCGGTTTGAGATCTGCATCACTGGAATCTTGGGAATCAACAACGACTAGCTCGGCCGAACACCTTGTTTTTCCGAGTTCATTTTCTGCTATACACTGATAAACTCCTGAGTCTCCTTTTCGTAGCTGTTTCAGCTCTAGTCGAGCTGTTTTGCCATCCCAACTAGGAACTATACGCTCAGATGATTCGATTGGATCACCGTTTCTGAGGGAAAAAGAGCACAGACCATGTTAAACTGGGCAACTACTTGTTGCAATTGCAAGAATTAATATTTTTTAAAAAAAAATATAAATAAGTCGACCAGGTATATATTGATTGAAATTTCCACAGAGTACTCCTCAAAGACAGAAAAAAGAGGTCGAGTAAATGTTTCTATTGAAAAATGAATTGAGAAATTCATGAGTAGCTTCAAAAGCAAAACGCAGAGAGCAAACGCACGAGATAGAAGAATTAATTCTTCCCTGACAATAAATATCTGAACAAAATTTTATTTCTTCAGCTTTAGAATCTTAAGGCTCCTTGCCTTTAAAAAATACAACTGAGATTTTTACTGAGAAACGTGCGTACCTGCGACATTCGCCACAAAGGGAAAGCAGGCACTGGAAACATTTTTAAAATCTACTTGACAATGTTACCATCCTGTCCAGCAAAAAATCTGTTCCAGCTAAAATATGGCCAACAGTGATGTCACCTCTGCTTTGCATTTGGCCAATGTTGACTTACAGTAAAATCTTTTGGGTGGTTGAGTTCGATAACTCACCTCAAGTCTCAAATTCAAATTTCGAATAATGACCATAGGTACGATCGATTTTTAGCTTAGTCTTCCTAGCGGCTCTAAAACTGAATCAATTACGAACTCGATTTTAGAAAAGGTGCATCCACCTCATGTAGAGAGAATGACAATACATTTGAATTACCTATACCAAGATGTGACAGGAGAGGGTGACGCTTGGACGTCGCAAGCAAAAGTAAATTTACTGCCTTCTCTGGCAGCAGATCCTGACAGTCTTCTTCCAAAAGTAGGAGATGCTGAAGAGGTATCAGTCAGTCTTATACCACCGCTGTTCCTTCTTTTATTACCTTTGAACAACAATAAAAATAACAATCATAAGCGAGGATCTTGTGTGTGGATGATAATAAGTTCTTTCGACTTCTCAAAAAAAGAAAGTGGATTTGAGCAGGAGCACAGAAGTTTTTCAAAAGACAAATTTTCGTGGATTCTAATGAAAAATAAAATTATTAAATATTAGCTGAAGGGAGAATAATAAATACATACGAACTGCACAGTCCCGTAAAAGATACCAACTCATAACAGAACACAGAACGGAAGTGTTATGATAATGAGTAATATTCACTTCCGTATGTAAACAAACAAACAAACCAAATGGTCAGATGGGTCAAATGGGTAAAATTGGTCAAATCAAAAAAGTATTCTAAATTTCCACATAAATTTCAAATTTCTAGAATCATTACCAAGTTCCTTTTCGAACTGAGGAACTAGAGTATGAGGAACGCGGCAAAATAGAATTAGCGCGGGAAATATCTTTGGCGGGAGGTTTGAATTAATGGCGATTCTTTCAAATTGACGCGTGTGCCAACTTCGAGCGCAACTTGCCATAGCAGCTGAACAGCTGGAAATCATCGTTTAAATAAACATCCCAGCTTTGTATTTTCTGGCACTAAGTTCACACGCGTAGCTATAGCAAAACCGGGAGGGGGAGGGGAACCTGATCCCCCATTTTTTCGGGAGCGGTTTAATGAGGTATGGGGGGGGGGGGGTCGTCGAAATCTAAGAGCCCCTAGTATACAGTTTAAGCCAATTTCGTCAGGAATGATTACCAAATATGGACGTCCTTCCTTCTTTTCCCCTCTGTTCCTCCCTTCTTTCTTTCTTCTCTTTTTCTTCCTCCTTTTTTTTCGGGCGAACGGGGGGAGGGGGGGGTGCTCCCCCTACGCTCCCCTTGGATCCGCCTATGTTTAAGGGTCTGGTTCTCATCTAAGATCCCTTTTCCCGCGAACGGTCGAATTTAATTAAAATATTTAATTGAATTATTAAATATTCAGGGTTGCTACAGAATTTAGACAATGAAATCCTCTGACATTTCTCTGACACATTTTGGTGAAAATCCCTGACAATTGAAGACGTGACAAGTGGTTTAGAAGACATAACTGAAACATATTCGTCATTTTCCCTGACATTTCCCGGTTTCCCCGGTATTCCCTGACTGTGGCAACCCTGAATGACGGACCCTGATTAAACGGTTCTGCGGGCCGATTATTAAAATTCATAGACAAAGCTATAGACAAATAAGACATAAGGAGTATAGAGCGATCCTATTGGTTGAAGTGGGTGGTTCTTATAGACTAAGGGGGTAAATGATGGACTAACAATCGGGTCTCTCGTGGGTTGCCGTTAGTAAGTCTATTACCTACGTCCTTTGTCCATCGCAACCACCCGCTTCCACCAATAGAATCCCTCCATATCCATTTGTCTTCTTCGTCTATTGCTTTGTCTATCAATTTCAATAATCAGCCGGCAGGGGTGTAAAAAATGAGAAGGAAAACGTACTTATAATCTCTAGTCTGGCAGAGGCATCGATTCCCCCGAAGTCGTTCTCTATCCTGACCCGGTAGAGACCGGCGTCCATGGCGTTGACATCGTTGATTTCTAGTATCCTGAGATCATCCCTCTCCAAGACCTTGATCCTTGGGGTGGAGTTGATGCGCTCGCCGTCCTTGTCCCAGAAGGCGTAGGGCGCAGGGTGTCCGGCCACCGCGCACTGGAACCGAACCGTCTCGCCCTCGTCGGCCACCTTGTTGTGGGGGACCGCGTAGAATTTCGGGGCCTGGGCCCGTTTCTGCTTCAGTCTTGAGTATGTCCCCAGCGTCGTCGAGGGGGATTTCTCTCGCGTTTCTGGAAAAAGAGTATTCAGAATCAGTCGAATTGGGCAGAATACCTTTATACAGGGGGAAGATAGACAGTGTTAGGGGTCCATCCTTGATTGGATTAGCCGCCCGAGGGCACGTGGGGTTGTTTAGGGCACAGAAATTCACGGACCTTGTAAACCAGGGTGTCTAGAATTCTTTGGAATGCTCATTCCCTGATTTTTTCCTGATTTTCAGGGGCTCATTTTCTGATGAGATGTCGAAGTTATCTACCACTATTCCAGGATTTTCTTTCTCTTCTTTTCCGT